TCCCATCCCCCACCTACCTACTTTCCACTCCCCCTCTCCTTCCTCCCTTCCTTCTTTTCTTTTTCCCCTTCCCTTTTTTTTTCTTCCTGTCTTTCTTATGTTCTTAGCCTCTGAGCCATCTCTCAGCCCAATTCTCTAGTTATAAAATGCGTTCTTATTAGGATTTTTCTTACAATAGGTTACTAAGTGATAGAGTCTTAACAAGCAAACAAGCAAGCAAGCAAGCAAGCAAACAAAACCCATCTTAGCCTTTGGATTATATGGACCAGATCCAGAAAAACTGCTCAATTCAGCTGAGCAGATCAGAAGGGCAGGGCCACTGTGGAGAGACAGGTGAGACAATGTAGAATAGATTCACCTATGAAGATCACTGTCTGTCAACTCATGCCACTTGACTAGCATTTGTGTTCCTAGGTGGCAGTGCATGTATAGCTATGCAAGGCAAGTTCAACAGGTATGAAGGGTACCCAATGGGGAAGGTGATATTCCCAGTGAGGATTTCTGGTGTCTCTGTGTAGACACTGTGGTGGTCACCAATGCAAATGGAAGGCTCAACCCAAGTGTGAGGTTGGATATATCATACTGATTGGTGATGGCACCAACCTACTTAGTGTCTGTTATTTAGACGCTCTGTGGCACCAGTGACATGTTTGGATCTTGTTTCCAACCACATCTGATGTTTATGATCCACATATGAGGCAGATGGCTTTTTAGTACCTGAAAAACAAAACAAAACAAAACAACAAACCAAGGGCCAGTGAGAGCTATAGGAACGCACCCAGATTTGGGACTGTGGCAGAGGGTCTTCTGATGCAAAAGATGGGGGTGGGTTCTACTGGTATGAGCACAGTACAAGAAGTTAGAGACATTGTAGACTTCCTCCTCCTTCTGCTGCTTTTCATTATCACTAATTAAGTCCTTATGGATTATGGAAGCCTAGCAAAAGACAATTGTAAGGTCATCCTAAAATCTGGGAAACAAACTCTCCTGAAATAGGGACAGTATTTGTCTCCAAGGGCACTCTACTCCCTGAGTATGCCAACTGACCAGCCTTGGAATAGGCTGGTGCTCCCTGCATGGAATCCAAGTAGCTGTCTACTTTGGCCCCTCTTTGGGGTCACAAGTCTCTGCCATAGGAGAAGCAGAAAGAAAAGAAGAAGATCCAGTTCTCTCGTGTTTCTATGGCTCAGGTTGGTTCACACAAAGCACCAGAGACCAGAGACCAGCTCAATAAAGAGAGAAGAAACACACACACAGACACACACACACACACAAACATACACACACGCACACTTGAATGACAAAAAGCATCTCTTCACGTTAGTTACTATTCTGAGGATTGTACAAGTACAACACTCCCAAACATACATACAAGATGCAATTCTTCCTTTCAGAACTTAAGACCAAAATATTGAATTGATGGTTGCTAGTCTCTTGTACTATTACTCTGAAAATAAATAGAACATTTCCCTTGGGAAGCTGTCATTATCTATCAGGGAGAAAAAATCACCAAGAAGATTTATAGTAATTCAGAATAATAAAATATAAAAATAAAATGAACTATATTAGTGGGTTCTTTGATTTGCAGGCAGTAGAAAATAACTTGAGCTAGTTTAGCCAAAAAAGAAAAAAAAAAAGCTATTCACTGGAAAGATGTTGACACTGTGCTGGAGAGATTGAGTCATATGGCTTCAGAGAGTATGGAAATGTGAGTCCTGGGACCTCAAAGAACATTTGGTTCTGTGCTTTTCCTTTTGAGATACAGCAGAACTTTCTGCTAAAGTGAAGAAGTCCAGGCAAGAAGGCTCTGACTGGCCTGAAAATCGTGCCTAAGGGAATGCACTGCAAAAGTCACACATGGCCACTGGATAGCCTTCTTTGTGTGACTATTGATGAGGAATAAATGCATTTTTATTGACTTGATAAGCTTCCTCCTTCCAGTCAGAAGTAATCAAATGGGATCTTACTCAAGTGATGGACAAGCTATAGATCATCTGGGACAGGGCATATCTAGGAAGACATGGATAACAAGTTGAATCAGCCTGAAATAGTTTATAATCTTTCACAAGGGATTGATTTAACAGTTTCTTAAAACCCCAGAGTATCTGGTGTAGCTGCCCAAAGTTCCTACATAGCAATGATTTGCTGAAACTGAGGTTGGAATGATCCCCTTAAACTCATCACTCACTATCCAGCTTCCTAGAGACCTTTACAGTCAGATAATCCATAACTTTCCTGAGCCTCCCCTTCCCAACTCCCATGTCAGTCTTAATACTTACTTGACCTCTGGCTCATATTCTTAGTCTGAAATGTTCTGGAGATCAGTCCTGGGCTTATGTATCTTTGCATCTTGTATTAGTCAGGATTTTCTAGAGGAACAGAACTGATGAGGAAAAAAAAAAAAAAACCACATTTGCACACACACACAGATTCACACAAAAGAATTTATCAAGCCAGCTTAAATCTAGAACAACAGAATCCCACATGAAAACCAAGAACCTGATAGTTTCTCAGCTACAAGGGTGTGTGCTACAGCAGTCCTAATACGGTGCCGGAAGCCCAGAGAGTTCCCGGAGAGCCACTGGTCCCTAGTCTACAATGAAAGTTTGAAAATGCTGGTTATGAAATCAGAGAAGGAGCTATGATCACCATCATTATCATCACCACCACCACCACCATCACCACCAGCAGCAGAAACAACAGAGTAAATCAACTCAACAGCAAGAGGGAAAGCCAAGTGATGAAAAGGCAAGATGACTTCCCTCCTGACACACCCATTTTATCTGGACGGCTACCATGAGGTTCTGTCCCTAATTTGTATGTCTTCTCACATCGCTCAAGGTGGTTAAGACAGTTCTTCATCTCAGGCTACTTACTTATGTGGTTCTAATTTATGGCTGGCTGACATTTCTTGGCACACCTTGACCAAACTTGTAAATTCAAATGAACTTAGATAACTAGCAGTTTCCATAGAGGCTGTTCCTGATGAAGAAAGAAGCATGAGGTGGACAGACATCGCAAAATATCTTAATTACAACATAGAATAATGTACCTTCTCATTGCCCTTTCCCATTTAAGAGAACCCAATGCTGGTTGAATGGGAGTTTCACTGGGGTTGCATTAACAGAAATTAACAATTGACAGCAAAGTGCTGGAGATTGGACCATGATTACATAGGTTCACTTATTACCTTTGTTTCTCTCAACCTGCTTTTTTTTTTTTTTTTTTTTTTTTTTTTTTTTTTTTTATTCTTACTTGTTAGTCAAGTTTCTGATTAACCCATGCAGGGCTCCAAGTAGACAATCAGTAACTTCTTGATTAACTTTTATCATGGGTTCAGAAGAGTAACAGTCTTGATGATAGCACCAACTCAAATGCCAAAGCATTCCTAGGTCTGCTTGCCAGATAATGCCCAATACAGTAGCTCTCTACCCCTGCCCTATTTACCGGAGAAGTAATGGAGGTGAACTTCTATACACACAGATATCTTCCCATAGTTTAGGCAACACCTGCCACATTCTCTGTCGCCATTTGCTGATGTCCTGCCTCTTGAACTACAATGCAGTCTCTTCCCTCTCCTTGGAAAACTCTTACTGACCATTTAGAACACTGAGGCAGGTTCAAATATCACCTCTCTCAGACCTGTCCATCCTGAGCTATCAAGTGCCTGTTTCCCAGCATCTGTATTTCCAGTCCTCAAAAACATATGCTCTGTAAGATGGAATTTCTTCTTTATGTTACTTATCTTGTCACCGCATGTTCCTCATATCCCAGTTAGTAAAATCCAATCACCAGCACCTGAATTCCATCTGATGAACTCATCTGAGAGAAAGGTAGGTGTGGCGTGTGCTTGTAATCTCAGCACTGGGGAGTATCCCTGGGGCTTGTGGGCCACAGCCTTCTTGGGAAGCTCTGGGATCAATAAGAGGCCCTGTCTTGAAAAAGAAGGTAGATGGCACCTGGGAAATGACAAGTGAGGTTGTCCTCTGGCCTCCACAACCACAAGAAAACGTGGGCCTCTGAGTGTACACATGTACACATGTATGCTCACACATAGGTATGCACACACACAGGACTTGAATAGATAGTGTAAATGTGAATGAAAACTTGAGAACTTCATAACACCTCTTCCTATTGATACCCAGAGTCTTGCAGCTGTCACTTCGCCCTTCCCCCAACAGCCTATAGGTACCAATGAGTGAGGTCTGTCGCTAACACTTGGCTTTTCTTCAGGTCTGAATGTAATGACAGACCATCCAGAAGCTTGGAATGAAACCAACACAGCAACAGTGTTATGTATACTTCAATCTCTATCAGTCTTGACAGGATTTTTAGATGGGGATTTCATATCAAAAGGATGAATATCCCCACACATTCCCTGAGTATCACAAACAAAAATAAAAACAAACACAAAAATACCTAACAACAACCAACATCCAAGAAAACCTGAGCATATTGTTGGTAACCAATGTAGGCCATCTCTCACTGTTCCCATGAATATTTACATAAGGTCACATGCTATTTGGGTCTGTGTAAATTGTAGGATTCATGCACAGTGTACACATTCTATATGTGTACATAATCTTTTGCACAGACCATACAAACATATATGCATACATTTAACAACCTTTCCTGGGACTGCACTGATAACACGCACAAAGGAAGTAAAAGGAGAGGAAGAAGTGTTTTAGTGTTCTGTAGGCAAGTATCATTTGATGTTGAAAAAGGCTCAGAATTCTGAAAGGTTCTTTCGAACTGTTTCCACTATTGCACAGGCTTGCTTTATTAAACCAGCCTATCAACAATCAAGACGAGCGTGACCATTTGCCTAATTTAGAACGGTAGAGGAACATGGATTGCTTTTGAACTTCTCTCAATATACAGGGGAAGAAGGGCCATCTGGTGGAATGAACCAAGTGTATAAATCCCTTTTGACTCATCGTCTTTGACAACAGGGTGGACGAGTAACTGGTTAACCGCAGAGTTCTCTCTGTTCACAGTAAGAAACATGCTTTGGCTCTGAGGACCCATCAGCTAATATTAACACGGGAAAGAGAAAGAACAGGTTGACAGGAAGCCCCAGCTCTCCCCTGATTCCATTCAGGAGATCATTAAGGAAGGAGTCTTGCTGTAAAGTACACCTTTTTTCCTCCGATGACAGTGACAACCAGGGCGACTTGAGTCAGGGGCCAACCAGCTCTCCTTTGACAAACAAACACCCACTCTGGTAAGTGCCCTTTAATGTGCATGGAGTCTTTGTCTACAGAAAGGGTGCACAGTTGGCCAGTGCAGAGCAGTAATGGGATAGCTCTGACACACCGATAAAGCTTCTCGGTTTACATTGGACTTGACTTTATCATTTACTGAAGGATATTATTAGTGTGGGCATGGTAGGCATTCTCTACCTCCTCGAACAAGAGCCAGGGAAATGTATACGAACAAAAGGTCTGCTGTGAAGAATCAGACCCTGTTTGTTCAGTGACTTTGGGATCCTAATCCTACTACTCAGCAGAGATAAGGCCTGAAGCTGAGGAAAAGAGCCCACCCAGCTTGGGGGATCCCAGGAAGAAGAGTGAAAGTCAGTCGTGTGAAAAATGGAAGTTCATCCAACGACGAGCATGTGTGTGGCTTTCCCTTGTTGCAAATTTGATATTATATATTATAAAAATAGATTTGCTCTTTGGGGCCAGATGGCATGCAATACTTCTGAAGTAAAATCCAGTCTTATGACAAAGGCCACTGCCAGCAAGGAACCACTTGGACAGGGCTTGTTCAGCGCTTGTGGTATCACATCAGCAAGTACTGCTTCCTTGAGTGCAAACACACACACACACACACACACACACACACACACACACACACACACAGAGGAATCCTGAATGAAACCTTATGTGTTGGCCATCTTACTTAAAGAATCTTGGCATCCAGATGCACTTTTTTCAACTCTCACTTCTATAAGTTGTAATGAAGACAATAGTAATTATAATTAGTGCCACATATAAAAATGACTTGTAACTATAAAGACCATGAAAATGCACTTTACTTTTAAGAAGTAAAATGACCACTGGAATATTGTATAATTGAAGCGAATAGTCATATTCTAAAATCCCTGCTGTGCACAGAACTGTGTGACTTCATAGATAAAGTGACTAATCTCACAGAGATTCTGTACCCAAGAAGGTTAAAGTCTAGGAGGCAAAAATAATTTGGTCTTGAAAAGATAAAAATTTTATCATAGAATTCTGCCAAAACTTTCAGTTAGTAATTTATTTACAGACAAGGGCATATTGGGCTTCTCTGGGACCTTCAGCCCTCATGCCCCAGTCACATACTGATGTTGCAGTTAATTTAAGATATGCCACAAACCTTTCTAAATATATTAGAACTTTTATTTTATTGAACAATATTCTGCTTGGTAAACACTATTCCTAACTTTGACTGGCAAGATAGCTCAGTGGGTGTTTGCTGCCAAGCCTGGTGACATGGGTTCAGTTCCTGAGACTTCTATGGTAGAGAATACTGACTCCTGCAAGTTTGTCCCTGGTCTCCACATGCATGGGCACGGAGGCACACGGCACATGTGCATGCACACACATACACAAAGAGACACACACACAACAGAATAAAAACAATTAAAAAACTGGTTAAAAAAATCTTAATTTTATGGATATTAAGAAATTTGTTAGTCATTGCTTCCAGGCCTATTTTCTCTGCATTAAAAAAAAAACAACAAAAAAAAAACCAGAGTTTAATACTTGGAAGATGTTTATTTTATTGTTAACAACAAATACTTATTTTTAAGCAAAACATACAAATGTGGGTTTGCCATAAATCTGGACTATTTTATTTAATAACATTAATGTGATTTAAAAGTGCCACAACCTTTGCATTTTAGTTTCCCTCTACATAGCATGTGCCATAAATACCACATTTCAAAGATGAAGCAGAGGCACAAGGATTGAACAAGAATATTGATGAGACGAAGGCCTGCAACAAGGACCTTCAAACACAGTGGCTCCAAGAATACAGCTCACCTCCATGTTTCGCCTGCTGCCTTTAGAAACACTAAGTGGATGTTCCTGGAGGTGATAATGACAATTTTCATGGTTCTTTGTTAGTGTCATTTCCCCCCCTGATGGTGGATTCTATGAAGAAGGAAGTTGTTACAATACTGTGAAAAATCAGGTTTTGAAGCTGTAGGAATATCACATGGATCATGAGTGTGTGTGTGTGTGTGTGTGTGTGTGTGTGTGTGTGTGTGTTGCATACGAATGAGTACATGTGAGCATGTGAATATGTGTGACTGTGTATGTGTTTGTGCACACACATGGGTGTGTGTAAGAGTGTGTGTGTGTGACTGTGTGTGTATGAGTGAGTGCATGTGAGTGTATGAATTCATTCAATCAGGTGGAAGGAAGCTTCTGCTTGCAAGCCTCTAAAGCTGGCGTCAGGATCAGGGTTGCAGAACCTGGGCATGGTTTTCTGAACCAGTGTGAGCAGCCATCTATCAACCCAGGGTTTACAGGGTTTCTGAGAGGGCTTCCGTTTCCCCTGAGGCCATGGGACTTCTAGGCTCCATGTAATAGGTACAGATGGTGCTGTAGGTAAGTGTCAGATGGGGAACCAGCATGGGTCCTTGTCACCTCTTCTTCCCAAGAAGCCACTTGCCCAAGCTTCTCCCTGCCGCCAGCAGAGGATCAGGTGCCTGGCTGTCTGCCTTCTGTCTGGAGTTCTCTTTGACATTGCTGCTTATGCCCCCTGCCCTGGGGATTATGAGAAATCACAGGGAATAGAGGTCCTCCCAGGTGTACCACACTGAGATTCTGGCCCTCAATCCTGTTTACATCTCTATTCAACTTCAAGTGACACCTAAGACAATTGTCACACCCAAAACAGTGTAAAGGAAGGCAGTCAGTCACCTAGTATTCCCAGCACAGTGAGTGTTTGATGACTTTGAGGTGACACTGAGAAAAATGTCCAGTTGGAATTACAAACAGAATCTGAAATGTGGTCAAGCCTAGAGATGGGAAACAGTCTCAGGATAATTTCCAAGATATTTTTTATGTGGTTGTCATATCAAAAATATGAATTATGAATTAAGTTCATAAACTCTGCAGTATAGTAAATTTATCAAATCTAATTTTAAAAACTGTGGCATGTCTTGAATTTATCAAAGTACATCTTTTAGTATATGAAACAATTAGCTGGAATTTTATTGCAAATTATAATAGATTCCTAAATTATATTTATGCCTAGTGGACTAGGCTATGGGGTTCTGCACAGGGAATATACAAGTGATTACTTCTCTTTCTCTACCTGGGACGGTCCTGGATTGCCCCTATAGTCCCATCACAACTATTGCAGCCCTCAAAACATGTTTCAGTTCCAGTATTAAACTGTTTGTCCCAATTAGAGCTCTAATCTGCTCGCTGACTTCTTAGCTGTGCAATAGGCAAGAGGTCAGAGGACAAACCATAATGTCACTTCTCAGGCATCTTCCTCTTTTAGTGACTGGGTCTCTCAATGGCCTGGAACTTTACCCATAGGCTCTTTAACTCTGCAAACTCAAAAGAGCAACAACAACAACAACAAAAAAAAAACCAAAATAAAAACCCCCAAAACAAAAAACAAAATAAAAACCAAGCATCAAAGTCTCAGGCAGTTTGAAGAAATGAGTTTTGGGAATTGTAGTGGGTAACATAGACAGCAGCCCTGAAGCTGTGTGTGGCTGAAGAGCTGTTCCTGGGTTCTCTTAGGGATGGCACTGTCAACCTTATGTATTTTTAACTTAGTGTTTTATGTACTGAAGCCCCATATAGAATCTTGATCAAGGATGTGTGGAGATGTGTAGGTCCATAAGAGGGCAAAGTAAAACCTAGAATGTCATCTCTTAAGCTCCTGTCATTTTCTGTGTGAGACAGCTTTTCTTAATGGTCTCTAAATTTATTCACCAAGTAGGCTATGCTAGAGTTCGGGAATCCTCCTGTCTTTCCCTCCATCTCCATACCTCTGGATTTACAAGTGTCCTGATTTTCATGTTGCTTCTGAAAAAACCAAAAAACCAAAAAACAAAACAAACAAACAAACAAAACAAACTCCTTCCTTGTATCTTATGGCCAGGCTTTACTGACTGAGCCGTGTTCTCAGCCTCACCTTGAAGAATCTCAACTGGAGTTCTGACACTACCGTGAGGTGAGCACTAAGCACCTATCTACTATTGTTCCAGCTTTACCTTTGATGAAGAAAGATCTAAGAAAAGCCAGATTCTCAACCTGACCCCAATGGTAAGAGGCAGAACAGATGCAAACCCAGACTTGAACTCAAAGTAGTTTCCCACTGTCATGCACGAGGGAATGTTGGCCAATGCCCCATCATTCATTTGGTCAATGCTTCAAAAGCGCTAGTTCTTAGTGTTCTCTGTGACAGTTATCCTGCATGACCAGTGACAAACCTGTATTTTAGGCCCCTGTCAAAGCAGGCTTTCACCTAGCACCTGCTGTTACCTGGGAGCAGGTGTGCATGGCCGCATTTCTGTGCAGCTTTCTTTTATCTTTTGAGCTGTGTATAAATGAGATGGGTGCCTCGAGCCTCAGGCTTGCTAACGAGGGGCTGCCACACCATCCATTTCTTCTTTGAAGCACAGGGGCACTGCTTATGTCCTTAAGATCCAGTGTGACCCAGGGGACACAGGGAAGAAGGGTGGGGCTACCTCACATTTCCGAGAGTGACGCCCCCTCTCACCTCGGAGAAGTATTAAACTAGAAGCAGCATCTCCCAGGAGCTAACACAGGGATTTCTTCTCTACTCCTCACAAATTCTGGAAATAACTGAAATTCTCCACGATGAGAAGGAAATTTAATATTTAAAGGTAATTTGACCCGGACATGTATATACCATGAATATTGGATGAAACCTATAGCAAATGTATTTATAGAGCATTAATCAGAGGATATTTATTTCTCATTCATTTTTTGGTACTTTATTTCCTCAGCATGTATGAAGTGCCCTCTACGAATGCTTCACTCTGGAGATGTATGTAGGAATGTGGAGGCCATTTTTTCTTTTCTCACTGTAGCTGGCTGAGCTGCAGTTACCCCTAAAAGAAATGATTCTAAGAGGGTAGGAGCACCCCAGGTTATCACTGCTGCAGAGTCACATAGTCACATTTTCACAGCACCTTTTTTTGACTCTTCAACTCTAAAGTGCAGACAGCAGTGTAACCTCACCTTTGTCCTTTCATAATGTAATTTTACTCCTTTGTGAGATTTCAGTATAAGTCAATTGATTAAAATGTATGCATGATCCAGTTTCATGAATTGTTCAATATAATATCAAATGCACAGATTTTTAAAAACTTGTTTTTTTTTCAATTGCTTGTTGTGCATGCACACTTGGAGGATAAATGTTTTCCTTTTCTGTGGCATCAATGCTGAGATGAAAAAAAAAGCAGAACTTAGTATCAACAAGAAAAGCTACAAGAAAAGAGGAGACACTGTTCCCATATACATGCAATTTAGAATTAGTTTGTTATATAGAATTATTTTGTTGTGTAGATTTGGGGAGGAACATGTTGCCTAACCATTTTTATTTTTTAAAAATTTGAATATATTTGAGAGACAAAAGCTACAGACTATTAAGTGTGAAGTCCTTTCAGGTCCCAGATGTTGACCAGGATTCCAGATGTTGACTGAGCTAGAAAGAGATGTCTCCTCCACTTGTCAAGGGCTGGGCAGTGTTGTGCTTATGAGTTAGCTCACACACTGGCAGGTATGGAGCCACCCAGTTCACGCTGGTCAGTATGGGACCCTCAGGTATTTTCCATGTTGTATTGATAATACTGTTCTTTTCCATTTTACTTTAGCAAGAAAGAGGAAATCAGCATTTATAATCAGCACTCCTTTAAAATAGCATTAGCCAGATATCATGTTTTGCTAGTTGGTGGAAGAGAACCAAGACTTCAGATGGAAGTTTCAACTGAGAAACAATTTTAAAACACAGGACTTTGAATGGAGCTATTCCAAAGACTACAGGTCAAAGTAGCTCAGAAGAACTGATCAGATGTTTACATTAGAAAAAGACACTTGTTGGTTTATGTGGAGGGTTGGGTCCACATGTGACCTAGTTATGCCATCACCAAGCTCAGTTCTGAATTTTTCTTACCACTGTGGTCCAAAGTTCTTACCTGAAGCTCCTGGATGCGTGGCTCACTGTCTAAGGACCTTAGCCATCTATACTTACATACTCATAAATCTTTGAGCTTTAAATAAAGCCCTGTTCTTCTCCACTGTAGATACTCAGAATGCTGTGTGAAGACAGTGCCTGCCTGGTTCTTATGGTGCTTGCCCTTGACACAGTTCTTTTTTTTCCAAGTGAAATCACCAGCACTTCTGTGACAGATTTCAGAATATTATTTTGCTCTAAATGAACCTAGCTTTGTAGTATTCAGCACACAAATACACACATGTTTATATGTGTATACACACACAAACACATACTCAGACATTCACACGCATGTTCTAAACCAGGAGCAAAATTTTCTTAGAACATTTCTCCATATAAAATTTTTGATGTTTCCTGTTCTGGACTTTTCCAGTTATAAAAACATGCCATTTGCAACTCCATGATTCTGAGTCTGCACTTGGTCACTATCCATAACCTAAGATACCCTGACTGGCTACCAGCAAGGCACAGTGTAGAGAATTTGTTTAGGGTTTTTAGTTTTGTATTTTTTTTTTGAGTTAGCTTACAAAATAGAAAGATGAATATGGCATGTTTTCTATAAATTTAGTTTTAGCTTTTCCTCCCCACCATCCCTACACTTTCCACTTTCCCCACTTCAGTGGCCCCTTCCACCTCTATGGCCCCTCCCACTTTCCTGATTATATTTATATATAATAGAATATATATATTCTATTGCCACCTCACTCTTTTCCCTGCCCACCTCCTACCCTCTCTCTTCTCTTTCTCTTCCTCTTTCCCTCAAACTTTCTCTCTTTCTCTTCCACCACTCTTGTCCCCAGGGACTGGTCTCTGCCCCTTTTTCTGCCCCTTCTCTCTCCTCTTTCAGTAAACCTCCTTTGTGAGTCCTGTTGTATGGTGACTTCTCTTTGCAGTGTCGTTTTGTTTTGTTTTGTTTTTTAAATTACAACACTTGGGAGGCAGAGGCAAGTGGATCTCATTGAGTTTGAGGTTAACCTGGTCTACAAAGTCAGTTCCAGGATAGCCAGGACTGTTACAGAGAAACCCTATCTCACCCCCCCAAAAAAGTTGTTTATTGCTAATATGGAATTGAATTTTAACTGGACACCCTGCATTTTTATTTGTTAAATACAGCAACACTGAATTGTCCAAAATCACTTCCTACTGTTGGATTCTAGGGGTTGAATTCAGAGCACCAGATTGAGTGTTGAAGGCTTTTACCACCTGAGCCATCTCGGCAATCAACATGAAGTTTCTAAACTAGTCAAAGCCTGGGGAAGGTACAGACACTAGATTTGGACCCCTCCAATGCCCACTCTTCTTGTTGGACATTCCTGTTGCCTCAGTTGCCCTTGGTGAGAACTGCTCTGCAGCGGAAGGCTCTTCCTGGACGAGTCTGCCCTTTCCTTTTTATGTTTCCCAGACTGCCAGGAAGCCTCCTGCTCACTGACAGTGTGGATGCCTGCCAAGTGCTCAGTAGCTGAACAGAGCTACTTCTCTCCCTGTTACACTCCCTCAAAGTCCCACTGTGCCAGGGATACTGAAGCCCTCTCATTTCTGCAGTATAACAGAGGCCTCCACAGGAGGCTCCTGTACCTTCCCTCATGACTGCCAAGGACAATCTTTCTGTTATTAAATAAAAGAAACCCTAACAAGTTCAGGCTAGAGAGCTATCTTAGCAGTGCATGCCACACATGTACACAAGACAGGCAATATGGTGCATATACACAAATGTAGCCAACACACTCATACACAGAAAATAAAATAAGAAAATATCTCTAGAAACCCAAACTCAACAAGTACTTGGAGGAAAACTACTGAAGGAAAATGTTTTAGAGAGATGTCTTTCACTGTGACCAATTGTCCAAGAAACTTAATAGGAGAGGTTTCTTGTCATCTACAGTTTCAGAGGTTTTGCTTTATGGTTGTCGGCCTGAATGTGGGGCAGTGGAGATCATGGTGTGAGCATGTGGAGAAGGACTGTTGAAGTTGTGGTGGCTGAAAGTGGAGAGACAGAGGCAAGGGGCCTATGTCCTGCTCCAATTTCCCCCGAAAACACAGGTTTTCAAAAGCCCAACTAGCTTTCACTAGGCCCTCTGCAATATCATTGTCCTGCTTCCCAATAGCACTAAGAGCTGAGGGCCAAGCCTCCAACACATAAACATATGAAGGGCATTTGTAATGCAAGCTACAGGAGAAAAAGTGTTATGCTTAATGCTATTCTGAAAATAATTTTGGATGTGAAGAAAAATAAAATATTTTTAACATCATCACTTACAGAATGAAGAATACAAAGAAAAGGAGACATGGATTTGATGCAGACTTCCCTCTCTCGTAAATGTTCCCTTTTCAACAGGGAAACCACATTTGCCTATACTGTGGATGGAGAGCTGTTAATCAACCTTTCCCAATGAAGAGAAACTACAACTCACTCAAATGTGGAAGGTGAAGAGATGTTCTCAGAATGTACACTGTTCTGAAACCTTCCTGAGAAAGGATTATTTCAAGACTTATTGCAATTAAAAGTGAAATGAATCAAGACAATAGGCTCAATAACTAAGAGAAGATACTATAAATATAAAAGGGAAAAGAAGAGAAAGATGTGTAATCCTCAGGAACTGTAGCATTGGAGGGTTTTTCAAACATGCATAGCTAAATACAGTTAAAGAATATAATTGGCATGTCAAAAGTAATTCTTGTAAGGGTAGATTCATCAACAAAGAAATCATCATGAATGTAGGTTTCAGATCTGACTTTACTGAAAGTACAGAGGAGGAAGAAGAAAAATAAAAGGAAGAGGGAATAATCAACTTAGAATTAATGACAATGACTGATGATGAAAGGAAATTCAGAAGACACAAAATCTCCTTGTGATGATGGGGCACAAAAGGGAGCAAAAGTTCTACAAACAAAACTAGTCTTTTTCTGTTAACAGTTGTGATGGTTTTCCTTTTAAAAACAGTTATATCATTCATTTCTGCATTGTCTGTGGGTTAGCACATGTGGGGGGATGCGTGCATCGTGCTTGCATGTGCACAGATAGCAGAAGAGGTATCTTTTCTTTTCTTATTTTTTTAAAGTTTTTTTT